AATAGAGTTTAAAGCCAGCCGCCACAGAAGCTGAGAAAAATGCAAATGAAGTTCGATTCTCTACCGTTCGCGAGTTATTTCGACCCAAACTGTGGGCTTTTTTGCCCGCCCTGTAGGGATTTCCGTGGTATTAGTCCCACCAAAATATCCCAAAGGGGCTGCCGGCGGCATGTGTGTCGATCCCCCTCATCAACAAGTGGCAAGTAATAAGCAGGGACGAAGCGCGCCCTGGGAGAAGCGCAAGAGACGGTACACCAGCACGTAACCGATTGATTATGCCGTCAGCATCCCTTTAAGTGAAAAAGGTTCACCAAGACTTCTCTACCTCAAGAAATTTTTTCCAGAGTAAAATTAATTAAATAAGCTTCGATTTAAAGCGATTTTTACAACGCAAAATTAGGTAAGACTCTACTTTACCCCCAGACGCGCTTTTTCTCTGCGCCTCTCCCCAGGCCTACTATCTCTTCGCCTGCAACCTCTCCCCCAGGCCTACTACTCTCGCCTGGGGGAAGAGTAAGAGTTGAGCCCTAAAATTATCCCGTTCCTTAATCGTAATTAGGGATTCGCAGCCGGAAGTCGATGGAAATCGATGCAAAGTCCAAAGATGAAAAAACTGAAAACTGTGTAGAATTGCGGGAAAAACAGTGTTTTATTATAACTCAAGAACCGATATAGCTACGGGGCTCACAATGAGTGACCAGGTCAGAATTGTCGGGTCGTTTCGTGGTTTTTTTGATGTCACTTCAGAGGCCTATAACTTTTTAATTTGGGGTATTGTGCAAAAAATGAGATTAAGAAACTCCACTTGCTTTTTGGTTTCTAGCCACTGGAAAACTTTGGGGTCGATTTGGGAGTTTAACAATCAAACGACTCCTTCTGTTAGTGGCAGTTTTCGGCTATATTTTGGATTCTTGCAACGATTTGCATCGACTTCCGGCTGCGAATCCCTAATCTTCTCTTCAGATCTGAGCTGATTTCAGCTTGTAAAAAGACTTTCTTAAAGAAGCGTTTATTTTTTTGTTGTATCTCGAAAACTACTGTAGCTGGCGGGCTATAGTAACTCAGGATTGTGGTCCTGTTTACTGTTGAAACTACCATCTACAACCAAATCTATAGAGCTAATTAATATAATTGGGAAATAGTTATACTTACCATATCTGCTCGTTACCTGATACTTGGTGGAAATCCCAGGTCAGCATTTTCCTCGGTCAATCGGCCAAGGCAAATTGGTTTCGAAATCCGGGAGCTGAGCGCAACCTGGTCTCGCAAGGGGCGTAACCCTCATGGTATTCAATAAAAACTGTTAGCCCGGGTAAAGTAAACGAGAAAATACTAATAGCATAGTACGCGAGTGACTGATAATTTTTGGGAAAAAAGTGCCCTGGGTAGGAAAGCTGTATAAAAAAACATCAATATGGGTTTTCAAGTTTTAGGAAGCATAGAAACACAAAACAGCGTCCTGCCGAAGCCAGTTTGTTTTGAAAGGGTGCAAAAACGCGTTTCTTCCGAAGGTTCTTCACCCATATCAAGCTGGACCTGGTGACGAAGGCTGCGTATCCTGCAATATTGGGCTATTCTGTTTACTGTTTTGGTTTTGGCTTAATGTATTTAATTTTTAGTGGGCTGCACGCCTGGATCTGACTAGAAATTGATGCTTCGAAAGAGCCATGAATTATTGGCACTGTACTTACTCCTACTCGGCTGCCGACTACATTGGCGAGCGCAGACTGCAGCGTCTAATAGGAATTGAGTCACCTACATAGAGTCATTTTGCTATCAATGAATAAAGGTAGAGATACAGCTGATTTTGGGGTTAGGACTTACTGCCGGTAGGTGGGTGGGCTGACAGTGGTAGTAGGCGAATATACCGATTACGTATTGGAAAAACAAACACATTAACAGAAATATGTCAAAACTTACCATCGGTGAGCTTGGCAATTATGGCATCCTAAATGTTTTCGTTTTGCATTAACCTTACCCTCCGGGGACGCAAACATTAGACATTATTACCGATCCGTGGGGAACGACTGCGCTAACACCGCTATTTAGACCTACTTTTCATAATAGGAAGCCAAAAGATGGGGAAAACCTCGGCCCAGAAATAAGCGGTGTGCTTCTGCGACAGTATCAATCGAAGAATTCTCGTTCAGTACAACGAAGCTTATCTAACCCTACCTTTCCTCGCTCAGAAGAAAAAAAACAGTTGGAAAGTTCAGTCGAAAGGCGCCATAAACTGTCCCTAAAAGTATAATTGAGGATGGACTCACCTGTAGCAATACAAACTTAATAATAATTGATATATTTGTAATGATCAATAATAATTTGTTGTTCTTACGATGATTGTTTGATAGTTTTTTGGTGGAAGAGGAGAGAGGGTGCGGCGACGCGACGATACCCCCCACAAGTTGGGGGACGGAGTGCAGGCGCGAAATCCCGGCGTAAGGCCGGTCAATTTCCGGCCAAATGCCGGAGAAGGGATCTCAAGTTAATTTACGATAGAAAAAGACAGAAAAAGCAAACAGTAGCGGTAACACAATTTGGCACTTGCAGGAATTATAGGGAAGGGGGCTAATCCTGGGTACAAACCGTTGGAAATAGGTGTTTTGATTCTAAGTCGCGCGATGTTTTTTTTTGAGCAGCTATGGTCCTATTGTATTATATAACTGTTCTCCTATTTTTATTAATCGGTATTGCTTACACATTACCGTTTCAGGTCGTGTTCGGGTGGCAAGGAGCCAGGCAGCCAAGCGCGACAAGGGCAATTCCGGGGCACCCGGATACAACGAGAGGCAAAAACCCAGCGCGCGACGGGAGGATAATCGAAAGCAGGTGACGGTGACCCGTCTGGGGGGGGGATTCGGGGTAAATGAGTGGGCCAGGTGTGGGGCGGGTGGGAAACGTCTAGGAGGCGCGCGATTCGGGTTCACTGAACCCTGCCCCGGGCTTGGGAAATAGGCGCAAAGCATTCATGCGGCATAGCGCTGCCACCGGATTAGAATAGGAGCAGTAAACATTTATGAAAAGTTTTTCACATTCACTCTTATTAACTACGTGTTGTGCTCTATTGAAGCCCTATTTATCGTCGGGAGCTGCGTGGTATTATGTGAAGTTCGACCAGCACATGGGTTCTTGCAATGGCAATTTGACGTGTTTTCGAGCTCCTTTTATGCGTGGCTTTACTCAGTTTGTAATTGGTTCGATAGCATTCTGAAACGCGCTCGAGGATTAGAAGTACTCAAGTGGCTGTAAGAGTGGAATGTTTTTGGCGAATGCATTGCGCTATTAATGGTCATGGGTTGATGGAAGGGTTAATGGTCATGAAAAAGGAAATCAGCTGCTGATGTTCATTTAGCATATCCTAAAATAGCCTTTAGGTGGCTCTGAATTAATAGCGTGCTGCGTCACTGAACTGTCTCAAATTTACCCGTAGATTTAAAGCCCGGAAGGGAGTCAGTAACGTATGAAGTGAGATATGAACATTCTATATATAAAGTCTAAAATAATAGAGAAATAAATATGCATCAAAAGAAAAAGTTTTTAGGGGTGTTTGACGCGGCGAGGGCAAGGAAGGAATTAGTTACACGGGAAGGTGGAGGTTATGGGTTAGGGGAGGTGGTGAACTCAAGCTTAGCTTAGCTAAAAACTGATGGGGATGCGATTGGACAGGTATGTGAAATAGATAGTCAGGAAAGGGGCAGTGATAAGGGAGATAGCGGGAAGGAGGGGCACGGTGGGGTTAGAAGGGGAGGGGGTAAAGATGGTTTAGAAGGGAGGGCATGTGGGGTTAAAGAGGGGAAGATAGTGGAAGGAGGTGGAAGATAGTTTGAAGGGAGGGGCACGGTGGGTTAGAGGGGAGGGGGAAGATAGTTTAGAAGGAGGCACGGTGGGTTAGGAGGGGAGTTACGGTGGGTTAGAAGGGGAAGGGAAGATAGCTGGGGAAGGGAGGGAACGGTGCGGTAGAAGGGAGGGGAAGATAGTTTAGAAGGAGGGCAAGGTGGGTTAGATGGAGGAAGAGGAAGCTTTGAATGGGAGGGGCACGGTGGGTTAGAAGGGAGGCTGCGGTGGCTTGGTAGCCGAAGTGGATGTGCTTTTGATTTTTGAGGGGACGGGGTGGTTGAATGGGAGGGCGATGGTGGCTGAAGTCGAAGTGGATGGGGTTTGGACGGGGAGGGGTTAGACGGGACTTGGCTTTGAGGGTGGAGTGCGGGTTCTGACATTAAGGCACAGTTGTGGAGGAGCGGGCGCCCCTTCAAGCGAAGAGCGATAAACATTTCGAACATGGCCCACAAGGTGGCAAGGAGCGACGACGAGGGTGTTGAGGTCAGAAAAGGCGCCGTGTACATCTTCTATACATCCATATGCGACCATGGAGCACCTTGGCGATCTTCCGCGACCGGCGGGCCCGGAGAATAGCACCATGTCGGACAGCCCCCGCGGCCCACTTCTGGCGGTACAGTGACCTGAAACGCAGTTTTTCATCATCCGGTCGTTCCAGGTGTCCTGAAAAAGGCACCTCTAGGGTCCCGGTACGATGCCCGATTTGACGATTTACTTACTATCGAAAGCCTCGACGAGCTGAGGAGATTTTCTCCTTGTTTTTCAAATTCCGGAATTTATGTATTACTTTCTAGAATTGCCCGATTTATGCCCAGTTAAAAATCGACATGAAAATTTCAAAATTGTGGTAAATCTGGGAGTTTGATCAATTTGAGAGAACATATTCCGCGTTCTGATGTTTATGGAAAGATGGGTTTGAATATTGCGGGCTTTTGTCTCAAACAATTGCTTGGGAAAAGCATCAAAAAGTCCGGCGAATTTCGAAAAAATTTAGAAAGCTCGTCGAGGCTTTCGGTAGATACATAAATCGTAAAACATCGGGGATTTGTTTTGAACCCCTCGAACTTCCGGAAAGTAGTGCTATGGCTGACAACTTCAAGCATGTGTATACCAGTGTGATGTTGGACTGAAATATTTGGAAAGACGATGATACATTCCGCTTTATGGTCTCGTTGGGTGGAACTGCCTGCTTCGAAGTCAGCCAGCTGCTTTGTCCTGCGCCTATTGTCCAGTCCGGGTTCCGGGGCTTCATCCGCCCATTCCTCGATCCGGTTACATCTCTCCAGAAGGGGTTGGAGACACTTACTTGCTTCTGTAGCTTTTGGAATTCATTGATTTCATGGGTAAACGAAGTCTAAAAAAAGTTATAATGAAAATAGGGGAGATTTCGGATATTTGATCGATCGTCGTATGTACAACCGTTCAGAACACATATGAGAACGTACATTCTGGGTGTCCGTGGCGTAATCGTGGCCACTATCATCCAACGTCGTGTTTTCCAAGAAGACGGGCTTGACGAGGAGAACTATCAATAAACGAAAGATCCGAAAAGATGTGCATTATTCCATTAACAAGCTTTTGAACAGTGAGAAGGAAATTTGGTTCTGAATTACTAAAGGGGGTGGGGGTGGGAGGGATAGAACCAAATTTTTCCGTGTGATCCTCTCACGGCCTGCATAACAAAATATAAAGCATTTTTAAAGTATTTTACACGGCTTTTAGATAGAAAAATAATAAAAATTTCGAAAATTTTTAATTTTTGGTGAAAAATGTATGTAAAATGATCAAAAAGGTCAAAATTTGCGGATTTTTGAAATTTAAAAAATATTTGCTTATAACTTTCTAACAATCAAAACTACTAAAATACTATGAAAAATACTTAATATATAATCAGCAGGTGAATGAAAAGAGAAAGTGGCTCCCCCCGCTAACAGTCCAGAACCGAACCGGCCATTTTGTATCTCTTGAAATGATCACATAGGCTTTTTGTTTGTGGAGAAGGTTGGGTGCTTGCGGAAATATGAGATCAATTTTGATGACTCAAAAGTTTCCTTGACACCCTTGATTTTCAAAAAAAGTATATGCGGGGACCGGAAATGGGCGGAGTCTGCGAATCGTCGCATTGGGGCCTGAATTCGGGCCCCGTTTACGGTAGTCGCGGGAATAATTTTCAACCTGCGTTTTAACAGCGCTATTAGGAATTTTTAGGAACATTATAGGAGCCAGCTGGCCGATCGGATTCTGTTAAGAACTAGCCGCTTTGCCATCCGGCGATGTGACCATTGATTTTTCTTCCTTGCACGACAACCAGATTCGGGGTTGTCATAATTTGTTCGCAACAATCTTGTTTAGCCTATCCCTGCCATTCACCTTACCAGAGTTTTTTATAATCAAGTAAATTTTGGATGCGGCGGGCTAATTCCTTCATTCTAGTTAGATGGTGCCATTTTCAGAGCTCCGATTCATTGCCGTTTTATCCTAAAACAGGCGAAATTTCCACAACGGCACACTGCGATCGTCATTGTTCATGCGTGGTTGTCATACAAAGATTGTTTAGCAAATTCTTGCAACCGCGATTTCCTTAATCGTGATCCTTGTGTGATGCCAGAAAGAGACCGTAATCTTATCGGTCATCGCACATAGCACTTTCTGTTACGGAGCCACAACCGGCTGTTAAGGCAAATTTTTTCTGCATCTTTTTGCGTTTTAAATAAATAAATCATTATAAAAATAAAGGATAATAGGATAATAACATGCACGTGGGAGGCGTTTGCGCTTTTGTGACAATTTATATCCCTACTAAAGTAATATTTATTTTCTGGCGCAATTCTAGGTTGTGAAACCCTGATTCTTGAGGATGTTCTTAATTACCACTCAAATCGCAGGCAAACATATCTGTCTTTATAGGTTGCTGCAGAACAATTCTGAAGAGAGTTGGCGATTTTAATGTTTCAATCCTTCCAGGCACCCCTCCGACGTTTCGCCACAACCTGGCCCTTCTTTTGGGAGATTTTTGATAGCAAATCTATTAAAATTAGCCTTAGACACAGTTTATTCAGCAGCTTTTCCAGGCTGTCGTACTTTTGCTTTCTTTTTGGACGTTGATACATACTTTTTTCCTGGGCCATTCTTGCGAAATTTTTCTTGAACAATATTCGTGTTTTTTTGTGGATTACGGTTAGATCAAGGTAGATTCATGGCCGCATAGCTCGTAGCCGAAATGCTTCCCGCTTGCATTCACATGCATTCACTTTTGCTAAAATTGGCTTTGAAGTTCTGATGCTGTGCCTTGCTGAGGTGCTAAGAACGAAGGAGGAAGCAGAATATCCGAACTGGAAAAATTAATAGAAAGTGAAGAGAAAATAAGAACCTGGAGAATATCCGGTATCGGGGGTTTTTCGAAATTTTTCAGATTGCCTTTGACATCTTCGGCTGACGCTGCTGCAACGCCGGGAGGATCAGAAGAATAAGCCATGAGTTTGTAAGAAGCTTTGTTTATTTTTTAATGTTGCGTTTCGGAAACTGGGTTATCCTTTTATTGTTAAAATTGGAACGGATCCTAACTTTTTGCCGGTACTATTTCATCACAATTAAGAACCAGTGATTAGAGAGTACGGAACGCGCCGATGACGCCGCTGCGACCGGGCTACTCGGCTGATGGCGCCGTATGGACGGCGGCTTGTTATAATTCTTATAATCCTCCGGTCGCTTTAGATCGGTTAGATCTGCTTCATGGTGCGCTGCGACGGTCCTGTGGGCATGCAGAAGCAAATGAACGGTCGTGTGAGTTCCGAGGTTCATTAAGATTATTGTTTTAACTATTATTTAAAAACTACATGAAATCAAATCAAGCTGACTCCGTGGTTTAGATGCCGAATGCACACTCTCCGCACCCTTCGATCTAGCCATGCTAGTCTTGGTCACCGTACTACACGCTGTTCGGTAGGTTTCTGAACGGGTTTTATTAGCCCATTTCGGGCTATACTAATCTCAATTAATTAAAAATTTTAAATATTTCTGAGTTAAATGCCAAAAAATTTCATTTGTTAAATTTGCTCAGCTTGGGTGCTGCATTTCCTTTAATTCTTACAATGGTGATAGTCTCCGTCCTGAAATGCTTTAAATTTGAGCATATTCGTAATTTTAGGTGATACCAGGGTTGAAAAACCGCTTCGCGGCTTTTCAACCCTGGCCCCGTCCAGGACTTGTGAAAGTCCTTAATTTGCATGTTTCTTCCTGAATTCTAGCAAGAAAAAAGTGGAAAACGGCTCCTCTGTTCCTTTCTATAGGCTCTTCCTACTTCCGGCGCATGCTAATTTCCCCCAACAAACAGGGTTTTACAAAAACCTATTTTTAATAGCGAAAACCACAATTTCTCAAAATTTTTATGTGTGTGCAGTCGATTCCGGACCATTCTAAACCTATTGTCGTTTCTTCCCTGTCCAAAAAACCCTTCCCCGAGGCTGTAGGAGCGGAAGATCCAAACGGAAGTGCATGCAAATATACACACACACACACAAACACTATTTTTTTATATATTTAGGTGATATTTAAATGGAATTTTACATTTTTACTCTTGTTTAACCTCAAAATGTACTTCTCATATATATTGATTGTAACGTTTAAATGTTGTAACAATATAACCAATAAATTTAATAAAATGCGAGCAACAAGACATATTTTCATGTTAATATAGAGTTGGATCGCAGTAGGGATCGAAATTGCTATATATTTGTTGAAAAGTTGGGCATTGTTTGTTGGGAAATAATAGGCCGGAACTGGCGATAGCTTATATAATGGGTGAGAGCGGGGTAAAGGGAATCATCGGAAATCAGACGTATGTAGAGAAAATCTCGAAACGCGGAGCAGAAATAATGACCGAATTCATAGGGGAGGCTTCAAAAGGGCTGGGAAGCTTGTAGAAAGATTTCTAACCAGAACCTTTAGCACAAAACGACAAGACACGAAAACCGACGTTACGTTTCGATCCCGGTTGACGACGAGCAGGTTGATACGATCCGTCCTGGAATATGACTGCGTTTTAAAGGGACAGGTAAGGCAAGCTTATGGACTTCTATGGCTCAGGAGCCTAATTAGGAATGTCCTGTAATTAGGAAAAATTTGGCTAACCTGATATACGAATAAGCAATTCAGAAACATTTAATAATTAGGAATAAGTAACCTAAATTGATAAATAAAGCCATATAAAGATCAAAAATCTAGATTGTTCGCATAACGTCATCCTCTTTCAGCTGAGGGCGCCTTCTCCATCACCACCCGGCTGGCGCTGAATGACCTCGACTTGAAGAGGTACGACATCATGGCATCAAAATTTTGTACAATCCAATTCTTTTTACTCAATTCCAAAATTTCGAAAAGTCGCAACAATTCTCGTGATTTCAGATGTGAGCGCGATCCCGACCACGAGCAAACTCTTCCAGAAGCTCAACCCGACGGCTTGAGCCTGAACTCTAATATTCTTTCGGAATTCCCCTTTAACGCCATCAACACGGATTACTGTATTGTGCTCATATCTGCAAATTCACGGTCATTTTGGTATAAAGAATTTTAGCATAATTTATTAGGCAATTTCTACGTCTTTTCGTTTCTTGAATGCAACGTTGATGACGCAAGAAACGATTCCGATCAATATTGAGGCGGCGACGCAGGCTAGGGCGAGTCTAAAAGCTTGGCTTAGCGGCGTAGGCTTAGGCTTAGGGTTAGGCTTAGGCTTAGCTAAGGCTTATCTTAGGCTTAGCTTAGACTTGGCTTAGCTTAGGCTTAGGCTAACTTAACTTAACTTACAGTAGCCACAAGTTGAGCTTTGCGCAACACATCGGGGTCCCGTCCTCCTCCTCGCAACATCCATAGTAGTAGCGAAACATCGACTCCTTTGGGCATCTAGGTTGAAGGTTGAGGTGATGTACGCAATGATACTATAGTAGGCGAAAAGCTACACTGCTGAACGCTATCAAGGGAAGGGCACGCTCACAGGGTGGAGTTTCGAAAAACGCCCGACTTTGTACCAAAAGTTTTCAAAAGGCAAAACGAAAAAATCGCGAGCGGATCCGTACCCTGGCCACTATCCTATCAAGCTAGTTGCTTACCACTCGGCTATTCAACTGGTGGTACCATACTCATGGGAGACCCTAACAAGGCTTCCCCGGGATGCTAATTTTTCGCATGCAAATCATCATTTTCCGGAAGTGCTGTAACTCTGTCCACAGGCCTCCTTAGCAAAATTGGACAGCGGCATCGTGTCCTCCGTAGTCGACTACCCGGGGGTAGCCGCGAGCGTTTTTCGAAACGCCACCCTGTGAGCGTGCCCTTCCCTTGTAAGTTAAGCTACTCTACGTAAATAAAAAAACGCTCCTATTTAAATTTTTTAGCGTTAATTTAAAATATTCCGAAATATTTGATCCCAGAATCTCCCGGGCAATCCGCAAAATATGGCTGAATGCCGCAAATTCCCGCATGATTGAATGTCGGTGTTCTGAAATTTGGACAGGGTAAAAATTATCCTCTGCGTTTACCCAATTTCTTAGAAACCAAAAAACTTTAGGTCAAACCCCCGGGTGAATGTCATTTTTAGGGTGGCCTTGTCGTGCGGGTGTTGCCGTGTGAGGCGATTGAATTTCGCGTGGATGTGCGCGGCCGAAAAGGGGGTATTGCGCCGGGCACTTTAGCCAATTCGGGTGGCCCATCTTGACCTTCCCCGGGAATTTGCTGCTTGCTTGTGTGTTTTATGTGGCCAAGGGGCCCGCGGTGGGACGGATCTCGTCTAGTTTACGGGCCTATAAAAGTTTGTCGCACCCGCGCTCCGCCGCCAGCTTGAGCCCTGCTTTTGGTTTCTTTGCGCTGGGTTTAAAAATTTTTTCGGTTAAATTTAGGTTCGATCGAGCGTATCGTTTTGCCAATGTCGTTTGATACGCGCTCATCGTTGCGGTCTAATCGGAAATATATCACTGAAGAGGTAAGAGAAGAGGCTCAGCTTAGGTTTAACTTAGGCTTATCTTAGGCATAGCTTAGGCTTGGCTTAGGCTTGGCTTGGCTTAGCTGAGGCTTAGCTTAGAATTAGCTTAGACTTAGCTTAGGCTTAGCTTGGACTTAGCTTAGCTTAGCTTAGGATGTGCTTAGGCTTAACTTAGGCCTACCTTGGGCTTAGCCAAGGCTTAGTTTAGGCTTAGTTTGTGCATAGCTTAGGCATAGCTTAGGCTTGGCTTAGGCTTAGCTAAGGTTTAAGCTTAAGCTTATGCGCAGGTCAAACATCTACTATTTTGCAGATTATGACAGATGAGCACGACTCGCTCTGTCTACTACCAGCCTCAACACGTTGTCTATGTGCCTTGCTGACGTTGCTGTTAATTGTATCCCTATCGGCGGCTATTTTAAATTCGTTACAAGGTGGGTTACAGCTGACACATGCTTGACTACGCATGAAACACATTTACGTTCGCTTTCAGTGGCCTCGATCGGTTCAAAATCATTCTGCAAGCGATATCATGACGTCTTTCACCCGAGTTACTTGTGAGTAAGCCTAACGTATCGTAGTCTAGCGTCCAGAATCGCCGTAAAGTGACGTAGCTTATTGTGCAGTAACCTATTTTAGCGTACAGACTCGTAGCTTTGCGCAGCTTCCTGCCCGTGAAATTCTGTAGCTTAGCGTGAGTTAAAAGTCGAAAACCGAATCTTGATACGTACAGTAGCTTCGCTTAGCGTACAGTCGTGTAGCTTTTTGTATTCGATCGCATCAGTGCGTACTCAACCGTAGCCACAACGCCCAACCCGATTTTAGATGCCCAAAAGAGTCAATGTTTCGCTACTACGGATGTTGCGAGGAGGAGGACGGGACCCCGATGTGTTGCGCAAAATTCAAGTTATGGCTACTGTAAGTTAAAACCTCCTAAGCCTACGCCTAAGCCTAATTCGAAGCCTATATGTAATATTAAGCCTAAGCCTACGCCGCTAAGCCAAGATTTTAGACTCGCCCTAGCCTGCGTCGCCGCCTCGATATTGATCGGAATCGTTTCATGTATCATCAACGTTGCATTCAAGAAACGAAAAGACGTAGAAATTGCCTAATAAATTATTTTAAAATGTTTTATCACAAAAAGGAGCATTAATTCGCGGATATGAGCACAGTACAGTAACCCGTGTGGATGGCGTTAAAGGAAATTCCGAAAGAATATTGAGTTCAGGCTCAAGCCGTCGGGTTGAGCTTCTGGAAGAGTTTGCTCGTGTTCGGGATCGCGCTCTTCATCTCGCGCTCGCACCTGAAAGTATATCAAAATTGTGGGTCTTTTTTGTATGTCTGGGAATTGAGCAGAAAGGATGTGGGTTGTAAAATATTTTAATGCCGTAATTTTGTACCTCTCCAAGTCGAGGTCGTTCAGCGCCAGCCTGGTGGTGATGGAGAAGGCGCCCTCCGCTGAAAAGGATGACATTATGCCGGAAAATATAGATTTTTCGAATCGACTTTATCTTACTATTTGTTTTATTAACTTAATTTAATTATTTTTACTTCTTAGATGTATTCTTACATTAGATAATTCATCTATAGATTTTACATAGATTGTTCCTAATTACAGTACGTAACCTTACCGATATCAATCTCAGATCGTGCCGGGTCCCATCCGCAATGTTGTGAGACACGTAGTCCCTTTCCGTACGACACCTCCTCGATGGCGTGCTTCAGCTCGGGCCACAGCATGTCCAGAATCATACCTACAATCAGATAGGGTTTGCGCTTATTTAGCTTAGGCTTAGGTTAGGCTTGTCTTAAGCTGAGCTTAGGCATAGCTTACGCTTAACTTAGTCTTAGCTGATGCTTGACTTAGGTTTAGCTTTTAAGGTGGCAATCTCATCAAATCCAAAAAAATGAACAGCCCCCATTACCGAGGGAACGAGCCGCTCTCCTCCATCTTGATGTCGGTATCAAGGAGTTGGACAAGTGTACGCAACACTCCGTTGCCGGTCGTTAATGTAGTTGAGTCCAAAGGTTCGTAGATTAGGTTTTAAGGGTTGGTAAGGATGTAATAGACGATAAAGATGGTCAAACCTGAATCTTCAGCACAGAGATACAACACGGAAGTTACGTTCGATCCGGGTTGACGACGCGCAGGTTGATATGGTCCGTTCTGGGAATAACGGAATTTTTAAATGCACGGACAAGGCAGGGAGATGATTTTTTCAAACGGACTCTCGAGGACGAGCGACTCGCTGGTGGCCTGTATCTGCGGATACCTGCTGAGTTCCGGGACGGTGAAGGTGAAAAAAAAAGAAAGGGGTGGAAAAAGCAAGATCTGTACACAGCGTTTGGAGGAAATCGTGGAACCGGCGGGGTCATCATTGGGGATGTCACAGGGATCTTCTCGACATCCACTGAAAAAAAACCCATTCGACCACCAACATCTGGGGTTTGCTGTCGGTTTCCGGTACGCTTAGAAGGCCCCTGGAAAGTACGAGAATCTACAATGGGGCTGACTAGGTCTTGACATCTACGCAGCAAGCCGAGGCTACGCTAAAACACGCTAAGAAAATTGGGGTCCACGCGCCTTTAGAGCTTGAGCGTACCTGTTCAGACCCCAGTCTATGGATGTGGTCGATTCCTGACACTCTGCTACAAAGTGCTAAAGGAGCCTGTAAGGCAAGAGAATAGCTTCTTTGGCTGTGGATTGCGATGCGATTCGCAACCTTCCCCAGTCCCTTTAATTCACTTCCATACCTGGTTGATGAGCCTGTTGAGTACGGTATCCTCAAGCCATATCGTCACCCTGTCATCCCCTTCAACTCCATCCCGAATTGACGGGTATTTGAGGTGGCGAACGGGTCCGACTCGTCGGTCGAGAAGAAGTGACTGGAATGTCCTTTAAAACCGGAACATACCTGTTTATTCCACTCGACAATGGCCCGGACGGTCATCTGATGTTCGTGAATGTCCACAGACCGTAGACGGTAGAACAGGTTCGTCTCGTTGTGCGCCAGAAATTCGCGGGCTTTTGGGGGAAGGAGGGAGTGGATTGGGAAGCGCCTATAATGGAATTATTTCCGAAATGGACTCTGCTAGCCTGCCCTAATTATTTCAAGCTAACGCAGCTATACACTTCTTCGCCTTGCTCTTCTGGAATTCCGGTAATCGTTCTCTGCCAGCCTTCCCTCTCTAGTCTTTCAACTCGCAAAGCGTCCCTGCTAGCCTGCCCCGTTTCAGTCCTCTCTTGCTCATTTTCCGATCTCCCCAAGCCTCACTGCTAGTCTGCCCTAACCAAGACTCCCGAGAAATCTCAAATCGCCTCTGCTAGCTCTCCCACCTCCTCAACTTTCTATACCTTCTTGGCTTGTTTTCTAAAATCCTCAATGATCTCCGCTAGCCTGCCAGACCTAGTTATTTTTCCCCAAAAACCTCGGCTAGCCCGCCCGTACCATTAATGCTCAAAACTCACATGATATTGCTGTGCGGGATGTCGGCAAAATAGTGTGATAGAAGATAGCAGAGTGTCGAGTCGAGGGTTGTGGGAACAGGTAGCTAAAGCACCGACATCGCTCCCTCTACCATCCATTGGCCACCAAGATGACCGGCCAACTGTAAGGAATATGGATCAAACTGCGAAGTTCTAATTTTTAAGGTATTCTAGAAGAGAAGGTTTTATAGGGGATCCACGGAAGTAAAATCCTTAGGATATTCCCACGCTTCTCCGTCCCCTGAATACCCAGAAAAGACCTACCTTTGGCTCGTGGAGCAGACACTCAGCCATACTCATCGTCTCCTCCCCGATCAGCATCTTCACCTCGCCGCGCGGTAACTGAAAATGGGTTGCACACCCCTTTAAAGTTTGCTCACATCCAGATCGACGTCGAGTTGATGCTCGCCAATATCGAGAGGCCACAAAAGGTGTGAAATGTTGGCCGACGAGCGGAGGCGCATCTGGAAAGATTCCTAGAGGTTCTTCGCACCAATACAGTACGTTACCGTACGTTATTACGCTGAGCGACGCTTAGCTACGACGCTTACGTCCGCCATACGATATTAGCTTGCGCTAAAATACGCTCAGCTACGGTATTTGTCGTTACATTTACCGTACGCTACGCTACGCGATCTCGCACGCGCTAATTTTAGGCTGCGTTATGTACGTTAGGATACGATACCACGCTGAAAGCTGTACCGGGCTGCCGATCTGTACGTCAAGCTACGGCTTTGTGTACTCTAATACACTAGCGTACGCTAAGCTTATTGTACGCAAGACCACGAGAGCATGCGCCTGACTACGTTAGTGTACGCCATAGTACCGTACGCTTAAGCTACGCTAACGTAGCTCGGTTAAGGTACTGTCGGCTTGACTACGTTTACCTCACCTTACGTTAGCGTACAAATTCCAAGTTTCTATAGTCGTACCTGGTCAAAGTTAAACCGCAATGCCCGGTCCTCGAAGTGCAGCGACAGATTCCTGTAGCCAACCACGGCATTCATGTCGACGGCGGCTAGCGGGGATAGACCCGGGTCTTCACGGCTCGTCATCAACAACTGGAAGCAAAAATGGCATTTTAAAGGGACCAGCAAGGCACAGGTTGGGTTCTGGCTATGGATCCAGCATGGTTGCTTTTCCCTGCCCCCCTGTTAAAGGGCCATTGAAGGGAGAAGACGCACCTCAACATGCCGTGGCTCGGCAAGGAGTAGTTGGGCCGCGTGGCGAAGCAGTTGTGAAGCCGCCCCATCCCCGACGACAACACCAAGTTCAGAAGTAGCGACATTTTGAAGAAATAGGCAGAGAAGGCCGAGAAATAACATCTAAATAACGTATAAGAATAAATACCGCACTTTGAGTTGCTGAATACTTCACCTAATCTATTACAATGTAATGTAGGACGTTACGTTACGTCAGTCATTCAAATAACAGTACGTTACGCCACGCCAATACGCTAAGGTACGCCAAACAGTACGGTAACCCTAGTAGGTAAAAGTACGCTTTGCAACCTGTTACGCCATAAATTAAATGTGTTTAGGTGTACGCGTTAAGTTACTACGGTACGTAAGTGAATTTTTCATACGTTACGCAATGTATTCCATTGGAATTGTCTATTTTACAGCTGCACAACAATACGCTGCGCTACAACAGTAACGAAAATGTTTCTGAATACGTTACGCAATATATTACATTTCCACTCACCCTTCCAGCAGAAGTCGTCATCACGTATCGATGCGTAGCTATCGAAAAAATACAGAGCAGCAGCTAATTTCTAGGTCATAGAGAGTGGGCGAGAGATAGAGAGAAAGCTAGAGAAAGGGAGTAATACTCTCTGGGGGTGTTCGAGTCAGCTGGGTGTCAGAATGAAGGGAGCGGGAGGGGGAGGAGGAGGAAGTCCGGGAGGAGACTGGATCGGGTCGATATACGGGGGAGGAGGGGCCGATTCGAGCCAAGGACATCCTCGCTCTTGCTCACTCGCTCGCTCTGCTCTTCACTCTCTCTCTCTCTCCCACTACCCTCAATACCTAGCTGACAAATCTCGGTGTCGCCCAGATCTGGCGACAGCGATCATCGACTCCCCTTATGGTTGAGGCGATCCGATCAAACACGAGATGACACTGCTCGAAGGGGGGGGATTGATAGGCTTGAAAATCGTCCCCTTAATCGCTCAGCTCGGTAAAGGGATTTTAGCGTCTCGGGAATTTGGAAAACAGCCAAAAAACCGTGCTATACTGTAGTCCGGAGTTGAAAAAACCCTGTTTTGTCTCTGAATTTGTCTGTATTACCGATCAAAACGCCATTTTCGAGAAAATGCAGATATCGTAGCTTGATGGAAACGGAACGCCGAGCCCGAATAATTTGTGGGAGTACTGTGAACGGTAATACAAGCCTGTTTAACAACGGGGTACCGAACCGGCTGCTCAAATTCACACAGAAAACGGCGAGATCGGGAATCTTCTAAACCCCTTTTTCTAAATATGCCTAGCCTTCTGAAAGCGTCACCACGCAAATTTCAGAAATTGACGGGATGCTGATGCCGAAAGTAGTACGGTAGTTCTAAAAAGTGTGTTTTTCTCACGATATTGTTTGCAGATCGCCGATGTTTCTCGCTTGTAAACACTTCACCGCTAACTTGTCGCCGTGAGAAACGAGCTAAAAACAGCGGTTCTGTCGACTGTCTCGCTCTCGCCTCTCTCGCTCTCTCTGGCTGTCTCTCCCTCTCTTCCTCCCAAGGCTAACAAAACTGTTTCGAATCACGAGAATCCAAAGCAATGTTTACAGTCAATTGTCATTTTTGCCGCAGCTTCCATGTTGGCAGAAAAATTTCCCAGAAAAAGAGAAATCAAGTGAATTTGGAGAAAAGTGAAACTAGCAGAGATCCTTTAGGAGCAGGTTTTAAGTCGGGCAGAGATCGTCGAGGATTACTTAACGAAACCGAGCTTTCTAAAGCTTTCCTGCCCAGCAATCTTGTAATGGTCGATTGTTCCATCAGATATCCCTAATGGTCATCCTCTCCCCAACCATGAGCTGCTGCCATTATCATCCTCTCTCTCTCTCTCTCTCTCTCTCTCTCTCTCTCTCTTCCAATTTGCTCCCTATCTTTTGCTATTTGTGGTGTACCCAGTTGTCTGTCGTGCCCTCTGCTTCTCCTCCTCTCCCTCTCTATCTGCTGCTCCCCTATTGAGGGTATGGTGGGTGGTTGTCGGTGGTCGAGATGCGAAATGCAATGGATGGGGCCCCTATGCCCTGATTCTCATCCTCCTCATCATCGCTCAATTTTCGGCACGCGCCGATAGCGATTTCCATCCGATCCTTGCAGCATTGTGTTGCTCTTGTAATTTCACAAGTGTTGCAGGGGGTTTTGTCAGCATAGAAGCGGGACGGGCAAGGCATGGCTATCGATTCTGAGGGTACCGCGACACGCAACGCGCGCGTGGCTGATCCACCCCGCGAAGGGCCTCAAACTAATTACGCACGGAAAACTGATCGTTGTGCGTGCGGGCCACCGAACCAATTTTGTATAATAATGAAAAAGCGTCTCGTACCTTAAAAATCAGGAAAATCTAGAAACTACGTTATTTCTGAAATCATTAAGTTATTTTAATTTGGTTTTTAACTTTGTAAAGTTGCCAAAGCTCGGGAATCACTTTTTTTAGATCTGACTAAAACTTTCAAAAATACTAGGTTAAAACGTACGAATTCAAAAAAAGTGAACCTTCCTCGAAAATGAGAGCACGAGTCAGGCCAATAACCTCTTTTGGGACCAGTTTCCCGGGAAAAACACGATCTCTCAGCCTTTCCGCTCATCATTTCTGGAGCGCGTCACCAGCATTTTGTAAACACTTCCAAGCTTAACTTGTTGTCCTGACAAGGAGCCTATAAAACCTCAAAATTCTTCTTCTCTTTCTTCTCTCTTCTTCTCTCTCTTCTCGCTGTCTCTCCTCTGCCACGCTAACAAAACTGTTTTGAGCTACGGAATTTTGCGCAGAATCACAGCCAGTCTTCCACGTTTTCCAAGCCATCCCCAAAAAGCGCAGTGTACTACCAGCCATTTCGGAAACAATCCCACCCCCACCTGGCCATACTCACCTGGTTTCCGAAAAGCCGTTGTGGAAGCCCAATTCGGTAGCAACCTTCAAAAATGTCGGTCCGGACCGGTCAGGCATTGAGAGTGACCTCGACACAATGATGCTTATGAAAAATTGACATTGACGTGAGCGAGAGAGAGAGAGAGCGAGAGAGAGAGTGAGAGAGAGAGAGGACAGAGAGAGAGAAAAGCTCGAGATCCCTGATTCCAAACTTTAGGTAGTCGATGACGATGGGCCTTCAAGAAACCCCGAACCGGGCGTCAGAGTTCGCGTCCGACCGCGGGCAATACATTACGTGAATCAGGTAAGAGATGACCCTGCGTGTTTAACTCTTGTAGACACCATACCTATTTTATATTACGTTAATTGTGGCTGAAATCAAAAGCTTGTTAAGCGTATTTTCGACGCTCTATCGGATGTTGTGGAAAGATACCCAAAATAACCGCGAAACTAACGAAAATTTGAATATTTCCGGGCCATTGGGGTAACGTCGCTAGGCCTTTGGCTCTAACTAAATTCTTTTAAATCAATTTCCACACTTTTTCCCCTCGTCCACTTCTCGAACCAATACCACCAACACCCTCACAACAAAGTGTATTCCAAAAGTCCTCCAGCTGTTTGCTAATCGACAAGGGTGTCGACCCGAGAGGCAAAGGCGTGCGCTCGGCGCATACGGTTCCCGTTTTTCTCACCCATTCCATCCCCCAACCGACCTCTCACTACCCACTGCCATCGGGTAGAACAGCAGCCACCCTCGAGGGGCAAGTGGGCACGTTTTACTCCCCACCCCCGGTGGTGGTACACACCGTCAGGGTTATTAACATTCCTGGCTCGTCCTGGAGAAATAATTGTATGGAAACAATGTAAAATGTACATTGCGGAATCAGGGCAATGGGAAAAAGCGACACTAAATAGCTCGGAAAAGCCTGCTGTCATGACCGAACTTTTTTTCCTGAGTATCCCATTTTTCTGATAATTCTAAGCTGTTTTTACAGCTTCTAGAAGCAAAAACTTCACAATTTTCACTTAAAAATCCTAAAAAAAAACGATTTTTCTCCCAAAATTTCGGATTTTAGACATTTTAACTGTTTTTCGGGATAGTTTTTTTGATGTATTATAATTCAATTTTACTAAAAACTCTAGGAAAACAAATACTCTTATCCAAAAGAACCAATAAAACCCTGCCTGTTGAACTCCTTTACGTCGGCACCATTTACTCAGCGATGTGTGTCGTTTCGATAAGGAAAATCAAGTGTATTAGAATTTCACAAAGTAGTTTTTAAATTTTTTTAGGTAGCCTCAACCTATTTAGCCGAACAACTGTTTCGGCTCATGATCCCAACATTGAAAGCATCGACTGCCCGCCGACCAGGGCGTCATCAAGCTGTCCTGGAACTGGATGTCCAGGCTCAAGGCCGGTCCCAAAACGTCGATTCATCAACTAGCGATTCTGGTAGGCCGAGGTGCACGACATCTCCACGTCGGCGCCTGATCGAATCAATGGCTCATCAAGAATATGAATACTGCGGAGATCTACACAACTTAATGGTTTTTCGGTTCTTTGGCATTATCGGGGGGAACCAAATTTTACGTTAAAGATAACTATAAGTATAGAAAGAAGAAGTAGAGCGGATCGCTTCTTAATGTTTTTATAGCAAAACCTTCTTAGGTTAATCGGCGACCTCGCCGGCAATGTGAACATCTGGGTGCTGTTTGACTGACCGGCGAGGCCGAGGTCCCGGGCCAATGGCTTCATCTTTTCAGATCGAGAATAGCGTGCACCGGGTAAGTGAATTTATCATCAAAATATACCTAAACGTGCCTAGGAAAACAACGAAGTGCAAAGGCATACCAGCCTTTGCTCACATACAACCATCCGTTCCGCGAGGTCGTCAACCACAATGGCGGGCTTTTCGGGTTGGCCGTCACGGTGTTTAAGGTATTTCTATGTTGTAGCAACTATAAAACTAAACGCATCAAAAAATATAATGTCGCTGCTAGATATTTTAGAGGTATCTTAGCTAACGCGTCGAAATGTAAACCCTCGAAGAAAGTGAATGCTTTTTCATTTACTTGGATTTTTGCCATGTTTTTGATGGTCCTGCAAATTAGGTCTAAAATTTCGAATCTAAGTCTCTTTTTAACAAAATTTTTAATTTCTAAAGTAGCTAAATCGAATGAAAACAGTAACGACTTTTTAGCAAGGCATCTCCGACAACGTCGCGAACAAAGGCAAGCAAAAATCTTACTATAAGGCATCATTTGCAAGAAAATCCGGAAATACGTGGATGAAGACCTGAATTGGAAGCTGGCTGAGGTAACAAACAATTTCCTGGTCCAAATTAATGAGCCCCGCAGGTCCAAACAAAATCCACACTTGCCGATGCGATATCGGCGAACGCGAGCTCCGTGACTCTCATCCTTGACCCCGTTCCTCCCGAAGAGCTGTCGCTGGAGAAGTTCTTCGGGCCAACGTTTTCCCTGGATTTCGTAATTGATTATACGGGGGCGGTTGTAGATTTGAGTTTGTATACTTTGAAATTTAGGTTGGCCGAATCCTGTCTGCGGCGACAACGAGGCTCGAGCTGTCTTCGGTTGGAGGGATAAAACAGTTAATTGAAGTGCTTACAAGTCAGAATTAACAAAAAGAAATTATGAATTAGGGAACTGTTCTACCCGTTAGCGGGGGGATTTCTTTCTACCGCTTTATAGATGCCGAATAATGGATTATAAACTGTTTTCAGGGCATTTTACGCCTTCGAGGATACAAAAAAGTTCATACAAAACTTTATTAAGATTTTTACAGCTTTTTAGTAAGCGGAAACTTCTAAAAACACCACGAAAATAGTCTGTTATAATGCAATCGTTTTTAACCAAGTGAGGTGCTGAATAGAAATTTAGTCGTAACGTAAATCTGAAACGTAACGAACAAAAAAACCGAAAAATAAAAAGGTTCAACAGAACCTGTAATTTCGCCGATCCGTTTTATCCAATCCTATAGACGGTTCTTAGATTTCCAACAGTGTTTAAAATGGGACACCATTTCCGCTCTGCCCTTGAACTGGCTGACGATCCGCAACGACGGGTCGATGATGTAGCGGCGGCGTCGGATTATGTGCCAGTGTCAGAGCATGCTCTACCATGCGGGCATGCGAGTAAAACCAAATAAACAAAACCAAACGAAGTTCTCAACAATCCTGATTCCAGACAGCGGCTCATCAAACTTTACATCGACAAACAGGCTGCCTGGTGTTTCGACGTTCCTAAAGACAGATTGCGGGTAAGTTCAACCCTAAAGCCGAAACAAACCTAAAACCTCCAGCGACTCGATGTGCATCGCCGACGTCATCCCACAACTCTCCGATAAATACCCGAAAGCCAACATCGAGTTTGTATTTGCCGCTACCTGAGCCCCGGCCATGCTTTTCAGCCAGAAAAATCAAGGAAAATGATCGGTAGAACTAGGGCCTTTAACCACTTTTAGGCGTAATTCGATAAACATTGGTGGAAGGATATCCCTACGTGGAGCTGGGCACACAAAGCGCCAGGAGGCTGTGGCCGACCTCGAGATTGTAGCCGATACCCTGCTGAGCGTTAAGGTAAGCTAAACTATTAGGTATACTTACAAAGAATTTATATAAGTCGTGGTTTGTAGCACAAATTATCTATAAACTCAATCAATAAGAATTATACCAAATTTGTCGACTCATGGTGAAATTAGCAAAACAACGTGTCAAAGTGTTTGGTACGGCTATTAACGCGATTCGAGCTGCTTGAATCGCTTTGTAGGGAGGTAAGAAACCGCTTGCAGGTTCCACGACTAGATTACCAATGCCGAACTGGCTGACATCGCTTTGCTGGGCGGGCAGCTGATCGAGAATATGGTCAACAGAGATGCTGAACAGTAATGCCGATCCCCGATTCCGAGGTGGTCAAAATTTTATGGTGCAATAATTGACTGTTTCGGGGGGGTAAATTTATTAAACTGGCGGTGATTGATCACAGTTTCAATGAATCATAGAAAAAATCTAGGCCTCGCTAACTTGTGAAACAGCTCCAAAACACTCTACTTTCCAGTGCTCCACCTCGACAACATTCGCATCAACGTGCTCTCCCGGAAACTCCTAATCAGAACCGATTTTGGCATCGACGAGCGCCGGCTGAGCAGAATAGCAGAAAAGCATAAAAACACGATTATCCTGGTACAAAACACCTTCAGGACCCTGTCGCCAGTTTCCCGTTCGGTATGCGGATCGGTCTCTGCGTTCACAGGCGGAGGTGGTAGGATTGGAAGAAGCCGGATGTTGTGTTATAGTGTCGTCGTATTAGGCCGCGCCTGGTTATATTTAGCTCATGACGTGCAGATCCTCAGCCAGACCTTCGTGCCCAAAAAAGATATATTTTTATTAGCGAAAATCACGCCTAACAGTAACTACTCGTTGACTTGTCTTATTGGGATATTGACCGGACTGGTGTTTGCGTAGTCCAGCAGAGCGCTTTGTCTACTTCTTCCGTTGGCTTTCTTCACCGGGGGGGGCGCACCGTCAAATTTTCGCGTGGGCACGATGCAGGGGACGGGCGTGGTAGACGAGGCGTTGATCTGGGGATAATAAGGTTGGGAAAAACGGTGATACAAAACAAACCGGCATGCATCACGAGAAATTGGTCTCCAGACTGGAGCCATACAGGGAGTATAAAGGCCTGCTCGAGAGATGGGGAACCGTTTCAGAGCGTAGACGGCCGATTGGGCCAAAGCGGATTTAGAGATGAGGGCGCGATAAAGGTCTCGCTCGGATCTAAAGCAAAGAATTTTGCGTTGAATGTCTGAGATAAGACAATTAGGTACTTTGGCAGCTTATTGATGGTGAGCT